AGGGGACACGGGTGCGTGCCCCGGTCCTGGACGATCCCACATGCCGCGGAGTGGCTGGGCCCGTGAGCCATGGCCGCTGAGCCCACGCGTCCAGAGCCTGTGCTCCGCAACGGGAGAGGCCCCGGCAGGGAGAGGCCCGCGTACTACGAAAAAAAAAAAAAAAAAAGAACGGAAACCCTGCGGATGCTATTTTTTTTTCTGGCGTTTCTGGGCTCTTCTGCCCCTTAAATATTGGTATTCCTCAAGGAACATGTTTGTTTGTTTGTTTTTCCTATTCTTACCGTGTATACCCACCCCATCATCTTCAGGATAAAGGCCTGACTCTGGGCCATGGCTTATAAGGCCCTTCTGGATCTGGCTGTCCCCCTTCACTCCTGTGTCCAAGCTTTTCCTGGTCTCTCGTGCCCCTGCTCCTCTGTATGTGCCATTCCCCTGCCCGAAATGCAGTTCACTCCCCTCACCTCCCCACCCGCCATCCCCCAGGCCAACATCCACTCATCCTTAAAGAGTCAGGGCAAGCTTCAGCTCCTTTGAGGGTCTTCCCTGAATGGCCCCCCACACCCTGCCAAGCTGAGTGGGGTGCCCTTCCTCTGACCACCATTAGCATCTGTACTTGAATTCTTGGCTTACTTTTCAGTCAGCCCACTAGTCCACGAGCTGTTGAAAGCAGAGGCTGTCTCTTGGTCACCACTGTATCCCTAGCGCTGTTCCTGGCAATCAGTAAATGTTTACTGAATGTATGAATGAGGACTTTATTCCCATTTACTGACTTGCCTTCACTCAGGAAAAAATTTAAGGTAAAAATGTGCAAAAGCTACTGGCCACTTCCTGAAGTGAAGAGCCTCTAAGCGTGCTATTGTTAACATGAAGAAGTGGCTTCCGAGGCCCTCTGAGGCTCTCTGTTCTCTACCCTCCCCGCCCCACCCATCCCCCACCCAGACTCCTTTATTCTCGAGCTCCATGGTGCTTCTCTTGTAGTACTCCCACGCTATCCACGTATCACAAACGTGCGCCTCTCTCCCACGTAAAGTCCGTGAGAGCAGGATCTACAGCTCCTCCATCTGTGTGTACACATACTGTCTTGCACATAGTGGGTACCTAATCGGTAATTGTCAAATGAAGTGGATGGAATATAAAGAGGGACGGTAAACTGCTGGATCAGAGGGAACCATCCATGCAATTGGAAACATTTTCTCAGTGGAGTCTCTTTTCCCTCTAGCATCACCAGAGCTGTCTTACATTCATATAGTGCTTTTAACTTGGCACAGTACTTTCCCATCCATTCTCTGATATCATCCCCACATCTACCCTTTGAAGTTTGCAGTTCAGGTCTGGTTATCTCCCTTTGAAAACTTATCCGAATTCACTCACCTGGCAGAACTGGAACTGAAGCCTGCATCTCCTGAGTATTCCCTGTGCTTAAACAGGAACATTTTCCCAAGCTGATTGGATCCCAAAGGAAGGTGTCTGACTTTGCTAGGCCGTATTGACACCACCAGGTTGGTAGTGAATTACAGGAAGTGACCAGTTTTCACAGGTAAAGTGATAGACCTCCAGGTATTCTGGACCATCTCAGCTTCTTCCTGTTCTGGGGCCTCCCTGCATGGGGCAGCCCTATCACTTTCTTCTGTGACTTTGGACAGACCAGGCTCTCCCCAAGCTTCTTCCTCCTGTGTAAAGAGCATAGTAATGCCTAGGAGACAGGGACCCCATGAGGAGCCCGTGAGATTCTGTATTCAGCATTGTCTGGGGAACAAA